TTAATACAGAAAACTGCTGAATGTTGATGTTTTGCAGCTGATAGTCTCGGGGTTTTTTTCTGTAAATTCATTAATTGAGTGGCGTAGGCTTGTAGAGATTATGCTTTTATTCTGAAAGTGGCAACCGGAAATCTAGGGCGCTCTTCTATTTCCATCATAAAGATATCTTTATTAAGGTTTTTTCTCGGTGTTTTCACCCAGTAAGAGAGTTAAGTTATCTAACTTTAAATCCATACATTCTGCCACCGCTAGTTTGCTGTCTAACGTACTGGTATTTTAAATAATTCAGACGTTAAAAGCTGCGGTGATGCTATCGTTTGAGGCAGCAAATTAAAAAGCAGACAACGGTACATATACATTACACGTCAAACGGCCATTACTAGCCGACCGTCCGTTGGTGTACTAAAAGTCTGCCGTTACCGCCAAACCGAGGCTGTAAATCAGTAGTAAACGCAGCCAAGTTGTCAGAAACAGCACTGAGCATGGCCGGAGGATAAAGTGTCAACAGTACGCGCAGGTGCTTCCACTTGCGTCCACCTTCATGTGCTCGGCTCGTCGGTGTTAACGGACCGTAATCTGGCTAACGGCGAGTGTTGGTGGTGGTTAACGGTTGAGGCCATGACGAGGTCAACTGACTGTTCTTGTCGGTCACGGGGCTTTTTATAGCTAACGCTCGCTCAGTCCTCCAGGACCGTTGACTTCGCGTTGGACCACCGAGGAGGACAGCGCGCGACCTTGGGGACGTTGCCATGGATTTGACGCGGTTGGCGGTTGATGCTGGGCAGTTCATCAACCGGGCGGTTCAGGTACGAAGACCACCGGAGAATGAGTAACTGTTAAAATGAACAGTTTAAACGTTAAAGTCACCCTAAATAACGGTGTTGGGACATGAAGTGTTTGTCTTACAGCACGTCAATGTCAATAATAAAATGATATAAAAATAAAAAAGTGCGTAGCAAATATCTATTTAAGTGGTTGTATTGTAGTTAAGTGTTATTATGTTAATTCCGCTCCAGTACACCGGGGAGAGTCTTGGCCAGGCGGACAAGACGGAGTTGGACCCCGGGCTGGAGGAGCTGCTGGCCCGTGCAGACGCCACCAAGACCTGGACAGACCAGATAATCTCCCAGACGGAGGTTTTACTGCAGCCCAACCCTGGTATTAGTTACTGTTTATTTACTATTGCAGTTGTCTAACTTGTCCTAAAAGTCAAATATGTCTTGAATTTAATTGAACACTCAAAAGTCCTTCATTTATAAAATCGTAATGTATACATTTAGAATTAGTTGATGTCTTAATCCTTGTTATACTGTATTGTTGTAGATAAACTAAACTCCATTTTAACTACTTAGCTTATCCATGGAGAGAAATGATCTATATATAGTAAGTAAATAAAGGTGTAGATAATTAACCAGTGAAACATTTTGTCCTAATAAACCAAACCACAGACATGATCTATCACCAACAAGTGGGCACTATCCATTATGGTCTGCATAAAACCACTGATTGATGACTATGAATCTTTAGCTCTGGGACCCAGTTTGTTTGCCCTCTTACAATAAATGCATCTCCTGTGTGCTCTTCTGTTTGCTTTGACTGTAATGGGTCTGTTCAGATGAATAGGGATGGTCATTCTTTTGAATCCAATTAACTCTGCTAATGGAGTTATGAGTGGATGTGGTCTGTAATCTATCAAATAAGGGAGCTATTCAGCCTTAGGTATACCTCATGGGCTTATAGCGAGGACCAGCATTTTGCAAGTAGCTGCCTGCTGTTTAGTTTCATATTGTCATATAGTGTTTTTCCTATTAGGATATAGTATTAAATAATGCAGGAGGTTGACTAGCCTGTATATTTGCATGTTAATGGGATGCTTTGACTATTAAATGTTCTTTTAACATACATTATCCTGACACCCATTTGTGTTTTGTGAGATTTGTTTGTGTGCTCAGGTCAGATATTAAGAAGTTATTTGTAGTAGCCCAATGGCATTGAATATAAAATATCAAAATAAATAGTCAGTGGCTTTTTAGAAAAGATAACCTTTGAACCTGAACTGGGCTCTCTGATCTGCGATGAACAGGAGCGCGGTTAGAAGACCGGCTGTACGGGCATCTGGATTGGAGCGTGCCACCTCGGCCTCGCGCACACGAGGTACTGGGAGACCAAATGATCCAGGCTGGGCTGGAGATGGGGTCCAACACACCCTATGGTGAGTATACAGTAATGTGGATAATGTGGTTCTGAACAATATGGCTCACGTTACAGCAGTAGTAGAGAAAAAACAACTGTGTTTTGTGTTAAGGAATGGCATTGGTCAGGTGTGGAGAGGTTCAGAAGCAGCTTGGCGAGGCAGAGAAGAAGTTTGTCCAAAGCGCTAACATCCACTTTCTCACCCCTCTGAGGAGTTTCACTGAGGGGGAATACAGAGCCATACAGGTAATAAACACATAAACACATACACCCACCAATCATAATCACCAGTTATTGTTATTATTATTTTTAAAATGTGTGTTTGTTTGTTCAAAGGATGAGCGCAGGATGTTGGTGAATAAGCGTCTGGACTTGGACATAGCTAATACCAGAGTGAGGAAAGCCCACGAGGCTGAACGAGAGGCCAGAGTGAGTATAGAAACTTTGCCCTTGCCATACTATCATATACGTATCCGTGTTCTTCAGTATATTCATCAAAACTGGATCAATCCCTTGCTTTTTTCCTTGTCTGTCTGTCAGAACCTGAATGCAAACCCGCGGGACGACGACTACATGTCTCATGTCTCCTACATGTTCAGCTTCCTCCGTGTTAAATGGCTGAAGGTCAGTGACACTAAAGAGGCACGAACGTCGACAGGCACATATAAACTTGCTGTCTGGTTACTGAGTAAGTCATTTGTCCTCTTCTGTCTCTCTCGTCCGATCAGATGTGGGCTCAGGAAATCGCTCAAGTGAGTTCATGTTTATCTTCGCATGCAGACTGGCTGACTCTCTGCTGTAATAGAGGCAAACTATGTTAACACGGCAATTATAGTATTGTATAGAATTCATTACGGTGCTGTTGCAGTAATAGTTTTCTTTCTGTTGATCAGTTTAGACTTAAGCCCTTCAGGGATTTGGTTTTTGCTAATGGGAAATTTTCAGGAAAAAAAGCTGGACATAATTAGAAAGATTATTTTGTCCGTGTGTGTGTGTGTGTGTGTGTGTGTAGGCAGAGATGGAGCTGAGGATCTGTCAGAGTCTGTTCGATCGGCAGTCAGAAATTACAAGACAGGTTGTGGAAGGAATCAGCAACACTCATGTATGTACACATAGAAAGATAGAAAATAAGATGTTATATCTCTCAAGCTTGGTAAGCGTGTGTATCATTGTTTTGCATAGGTTTTTTATTGCAACAATTGTAACATTAACTGTATAAAAATAAAAAACAGATGAATCATTTACTTTAGTTTGTCATTCAAATCTTCTCAAATAGAGAGAATCAAATCTGTAAAAATTACATTTTTACCACTAAAGGATTCGTTTTTATTTTATGCTCCATGTAATGTAATGCAAAGTCCTTTATATAGTTCCATCTGTCTTATATTTAATGTGTCCTTTGATGTTTGTTTTTTTCCAGACAAACCACATGCGGAGCCTGACTGACTTTGTGGAGGCTCAGGCGTGTTACTTCGACCAGTGCAACCAACATGCTCAGGAGTTTCAGAAACAGCTAGCCAGGTCTGTATTTCTTCTTTTATAGAACTAAAATAAGGTATGGAAGTTCATTTTTGCTTCCTTATGCTATTAGGAATTTAATGTTTTAAAACTTTTGTTTGTTTTATCTGAATTTAAAATTAAGTTTTTTCACACGTCACTACTACTGCTACAATTCACAGCTTTCCTGTGAAAACCACGAACCTCCAATTATGGCTGTTTTGACAAACTGTTCTTTATTGATTGACAAAATTCTACTATCTGTTAAACTATATAAACAATTAAAATACCTATTGGATTAAATGGCAAATACAATGTCATAAAACTGTTTTACGAAGCATATAAAAGTTGATATTTGGAGATATGGGATTTTTATTAATGGTAAAATCAGAAGTCAAATACATCTACAGAATGTATGTAGTGCAAAATCAGTTTCAATTTATTTTAGTCAAAGCTACAACCCAGTTGGGAAAGAAGATGCTCAGTTTTACCACAAAAAGTTATTTGTAGGAGCCAGGACATCTGGTCTCACAAAGAACACAAGACTATTGAGAATAATCTTTAAAGCAAATTAATTTGGTTGGTTATGATTTTGTTTCTTCCAGCAGCATTCCAGCTGTCCTCTGCTCCAATAACTGGCAGTCGGCAATTAGTAATGGAGGTAATCAGCCATCAACAAGCAACCATGTAGCCAATGAGCCTGTCGAGTCAAATCAAGTCATTCCAATCCCAGTAGTCGTCCACCAACTTCCAGAATTCGACCAGGACTCATGGACCGTAAATCCACCGCACGCAACCGAAAGAACAACAAAAGATTCCTCTGTAACCACACAGCCACCTGATCAGACAAATAACAACAATAACAACAATACCTTCTTTACTGACTGCCAGGCAAGCAGCTATTATTCAGCGGCCAATCCAGCATTTGATGATGTCCGAACATCGAATTCAGACGGTCACCCAAGGGATCCAATCACAGCCTTCAGCAGAACATCAACAATAACAACAACTGCTTCCCCACCTTCTGAACTCAGTGGAACATCAAACGAGTCTCACACAGCAGATGCAGTAGCTACTGAGACCTCAACAACCAACGGCGTGGCCGCTGATCCCCAAACAGCCCGTACATCCGCAAGCGAGCTGGCCACCATTAATGGAGAAGATGTCCAGGAGTCTTCAACCGACAGTCAGTCTGTGGTTCAGTAGAGACTAATGTCTGGCGGGCGATTTGAAACCTGGACAAAGACATATCAGCTGGGATTGGCGCTTCAGCTGATTTAGACCAGTGATAAATGTAGATCCAAGAATACAGACACAGACACACAATCATTATAACATGGTACAGTAAAAAAAAAAAAGAAAAGTTAATTAATCCCATAGGGAAGATAATGTGAAGTGCTTATTTCTCTAAACGCGACATAGTGCCACAATAATTTTAGCCTTTAGCCATGTTCATATATTATTTACGTTGTATGAAGATGATGACTGTTGAGTATTTGTCCCCTCTTGTGGCAATGGATGTAATGGATGTCTACCCTGTAATATTTGCTAGCCTCATATTTGCAGTGTGCGATTGTGACAAGTTGTTTTCAGTCTGTGAAACTAAATCTTTATTTTTACATTTAGCGAAATGAAAGAACTAACAAAGCTTTGTGCCAAGTGTATGTGTATCTGTGTTGGTGTGAAAACAACAGCTCGTGTGTGTCTCTGTGTGTTTGTTGTGTTTATGTATGTCAGTGACCCATGTGCATTCACGTGTGTTTACAGTTTCCCCAAACCTGACACCTTCAAAGAGAGGTGTGTGTATATGTATGTGTCTCTGCCACCTCTCGACTTGTGTTTCTACAAGTTGAGGTCATTTTCCATATAAAACATGTCACTTATATGTGCGTTGGGTAGTCCAGCGAGGTGACAAAACACCAAGCTGAACAGGACCTTTATGCTGTGGTATAAAATATGTTTCCTCATACATACTCTGGGTGTTTCCCCCTTTACATGCAGTCAAATCACATATTCACTTTTACCCTTTTACCCCCTTAAAGCCCCCACTAGGTAAAATGGGCAGTTTCCATTTCCAGATGTTGTTAATTTTCTTCATGAGGGCTGCCCTGCTCTACTGTGGTGTGGGTCCACTCTGGGGACCCTGGATGGAAACACACATATTAATGTAGCACTGGCCTTACTGATGTAATCACCCACCAGCTCTAAGCTCTTCGCTTTTCTCCCAATACGTAGGGATGTGTGTGTGTATGGATAGCTGCAATATCCACGAGTCTAGTTGCTGCCAGTTTTAAACGTAAATGCAGTAATAATTCAGTCACATATTGTACGTTGAGCTGATGTCAGTGCGAGGTTGGAGTTTTGCCTTGATTCATGTGAAAATGTGGAAATAAATGTTGCAAACAGTGATGTCATGTCAGTCCATATCAAGTGTGGATTCTGTCTTTGTTCTGCAGTTGAGGTGTTTCTATTATTTCCTCAATCAAATCTGCTGCTGGCCATTTGCTCGTGTATTTTCTCATATACCAGCCAAACCTCCCTACCTAGATTTACACACACACACACACACACACAACCATTTCCACGTTGAGGTCTTGATCAGGCTTCCCAGCCCAAGTCTAATATTATCTAAAACCATCCTGACACACTGTGCAGCTTGCAGTTAACCTTGGCTTGCTACACTTATTGCATTATTATTATATTAGCAGGATAATGATGTCTGCTGGTGTATGACATTTACCACAACCCCAACACATGCAGGCACATTAAAATATTACTCCAAAAACACTGACAAAAGTCTGTGTATGTGTTTCTCCTGTATTTTGCCTTCACCTATATCCTATCTGAAGCTGTGCAAACAGATTAGATTGATTAAGCGCAGGTTATGTGCTATTGATCTGAGTAGAGTCAGGAGGACCGTGGTTCAATAACATCATAAAGATTTATATCGCACCACTATATCGGCTCTGCATTTTGGAGGGGCCTCACAGGAGGCACAGCCAGTGCTTAAAGACAGATTAAAAACTGTTTTGTTCCTGTCCTTTCCTGTGATTCAGCAAAACAAGAATAGAGTTCTCCTCAGTCTGTCTATGGCTGCTTGCTTTTCTGCCACACTGATACACCAAGTCCCTGCTATTTTTTCCAACTTATTTTTTATAATTTCCGGTATGCACCCTGTTTGTCAGCAGAGACTGCTCTCTGGTCTTCATGTGATTTTCAGCTCGTGTGATACAGGAAGGAAGCAGATGCTGGAATGATGTTTTGCAGGTCTGGCTGACATGAGTGAGTTATGGAAGCAGATAAAGGGAATTGGGATGTTTCTAATTATATTTGGCTAGGTCCTCTACCTGAGAGGTACAGACAGATAATACATGTATGGATAGGTACAGTATATTATTTAATTATATTTACACAAGTAAACCTCACTGATGCTGGAAACCTATTTTGGAAGAGAGACTTGGCCGAGATGGCAGCATAAAAAAATGTAGACAAAACAATACAAAATCAGATAACAGGTAAAACAATACTATAATGTTAGGCTAAAGTATGAGGATAGACAGATAATGGAGTCATTAACCATAGAGTTTTCACAACACTGGCTTTAAATGTTTCTAAAAATATCAAATTAATACATTTGAATTCCTTTTGCAGACTATTTTTAGTGGCTGGAGCCTCATTAAAAAACATGAAGGCTTTGATATGTGAACGGTTTTGATTTGGTTACAAATCTCACTGCACTGCAATGTCCAGAGTTCAACACGTGGAGACATTGTGCTAATGCATTCATACACAACAAATAAACCATAATTAAGAGTCAGTAAAAGTAGTAGTGGCGATCTGCTTCCTCCTAGCTTTAAGAGAGAAACAGGATTTGTGTCTGTCTGCAAATCAGATATATTAATCAAGCCAAATACTAGTTTATGTGAGTATTGTCCAAAACTGTAACATTGTTCACAATGACTATAGGCTTCTTCTTAGCATTAGAAAACAACATCCACTTAGACTTATGTGCATTCAGCAAAATATTAGAGGTGGACTGTAGTAGTGCATCTGGGCAAAAAGATCCACAGATATTCAAACCTGCATCATCTGCACAATAATATTATTTTCATGTGCATTAACACCTAAATTATTTATGAAAAGAGAATATGAAAGTGGGCCAAGCACAGATTCTTGAGGTATTCTATTTAGTACCAGTTTGAACTCTGCCCATTTACTTTGATGCTTTGAGTCCAACCTGAGAGATAATTGCTAAACCACCTTACTGCCACCTCAGCTTCAGCAGGACAACTTCCATAGTATTAAAGACTTTTCTATTATTTTGAATCCTAACTGGCTCTCACTTTTCTTTTTTAGAAAAGCATTAACCAATAACATAATCATCGCCTAATACACCCCTTTTAACATCCATATACATGATTATAAGTCTAATATGTTCTTACAATGGTTCTATTATACAGCATACTGTATTTCAATCATATGCCCATGGCTTCCACCCCTTCCTACATATTTGGGATAGAAAAGGATACACCCAGTTCTCATAAAACTGGCCTGTGTTGCCTGACTTTGCCGTGTTAGTGTTAGTATGTGGTTTGTTCATCAGTAAAGTCCTGTTGCTGTTTTAAACCATCTGTTTTCAGCCAATTTAAGTTCTGCTGACAACACCCACTGTCCCATTTTCCCTTGAGTCTCTGGTTTCGTCAGGACAAGCCAAACGACAGGATTTGTTTTTCTTCTAATTCTCTCTGAATAAAATTAGTGCTAATACACGAGGAATATTCTCTCCTTAGATCCATCTTTCATCATCTACCCCTCTGTCTTTTCCCTTTCCATCTTCCTCTCTCTGTTATGTTCTCGTCAATCCTTCATCTCTCATCACTCCTCCTCCCCCTCACTGCCAGCTGGGAGTGTTTTGTGTGACAGCTAATTGTAGGTGTGGTGTGCAGGTGGGAGTGGTAAACAGCGTCTGGTGGCTGCTGATAAATGTAGCTCTTTTATGGTGTCATATGATGACCTAAATAGACCGATGACCTATAGAGTAAAAGGTGGAAATGACTCAGATGGGCACCAACGAGGACAAGATGACAACACCAACCTGCATACACACTGAATTTTATATCACATCTGCAAGTTCTAACGTATTGCTTTCCTACTTATTATTTATTATTACATTTTATGAAACTGGGCCAAGAATATGCACACACTCATGCCGCAATGAGGAAAGGAAAAAAATATAAGCTCTTCCTCTGTCCCTCTGTACCTTTCCTCACCAATTATCCACATCTCCCCTATTTCTATCTCACTCACTTTCTGTCCATCACTTCCTTTGCAGGTTCTCTCTTTTCCTGAGATAAACCTGCCTGCTCCCATCCCAGTTAGTCCCTCTGCTACAATTATAGCCTGCCAGACAGAAAATCATACATAGTTACTGGCAGGCATGCTGACATCTGCAGGGGGAGCTCGATCGGGAGGTCTACAGAGAGTAAAAAGGTCAAGGCTTTTCCTTTGACCTTGACACGTGCTACTTCTGCTGCTTAACCCCTAACACCTGTTGACCAGAGCTCTCTGTAGGAATAAGGTCATCCGTGCTTGCTAAGAGTCCTATAGCTCCTAATTCTTCCTCGTGGAATGTTTAATCAACAAGGTAACCAGGCAACAAAATGCAATCATAGCCAGAAGGCACATTTCAGCATTGCTAGGCAACAAAATTTGATTTCAAGTGGTTAAAAACCAACCAATTAAAAGCTTAAAATACATCCCTAACTCTGCAATATTGCAACTTTTTTTAGGTTAAGGGATTTGGTGTTGATGTAGAGAGCAGGGAGTGAGTCTGAGTCATCAGTAAAAAGGTTAAGAGTGTGTGGATTGAAATGTCCTGTGGAAACAATGTATGGTTGTAGAGGATTTAAGAATGAAGCACAACAATAGCTTCTTGTAGTGACAAAAATTGACATATTTTAGATTTCAGTCATGTTTTGCAAACATAAAAAAATAAATGAATTTTACAATTTAGGTATATACAGTACCTAACTGTGTGTAAATGCAGTATTATGAGGTGTAATTTTGACAGCATGGCTATCTTACAGGTAGAAAAAAATCTCCAGAAAGACTGTAAATAGGGGAAGTTTTGGTATACGAATATCTATCTCTATCTGTTTCTGTCTCTTTACAATAAAGTTAGGAACCTTTTTTTTGTGGCAACTTTTTCTGGCTGAACAGCAGACACAAGTGACAATTACGGGATAATGATAAATTCTTAAACCCACTGTAAGTGCAGCGACCGAGTCATAGTTCACTACCTTTAGCTAACATTAGAACTGACTAAATAAGGCTGTACAGTAGAAAGAGATGATTGTTACGTTCTTTAAAGCAAATTAAACATATGTTTAAACTGTTTTTTGTTCTGCCTGGTGGGTCCTCCATTCTCCCTGTTTCATTTTTCTGTCTCTCTCCTTCCCCTCCATCCCTTTCTTTCCCCCCCAGCTTTCCCTATACTCCTGTAACTCTCCCTGTCTTTCCCCATAATGCCCCTATTTCCCACTCAGTTTGACTTTTGACATATTACCTCCACTGAAGCATTACTCACACAACCTCCACAGCACCCCATCTGTCCCACCCTCTTTAACTTCCCTCCTTTTCCCCTCGTTATAAACTCAGCACCCACAACAGTTGACTCAGTGTGAAGAGCTTTACATATAGTGAAGGGGGCGAGGAAAAGAGGAGAGCTGAGAAAACTGGGTGACAAACACACCCGATGTTACCTAGCTACTTTTGTCATATTTTTAAAAGCAACACATTCAGTGCTTCATCATGCCTGCATTCAGGATCTGGCGCATTCTGTGTGTGCTTGGCTTCGTGGGTGCATCCTTGTGTGTGAATGAGGTTGAGTATGAAGGAAACAACGCAGACAACTATGACAACGAGATCTCTCAGGATCAGCAGGGGGGTGAGTTTTGTTTATTTATCCTTTTTGTGTCTTTTGTTCCCTGCTTGTTTGAACAGATGGCTCATTGTGAAGAATTTGTCCTCAGCTGCCATCTCTAATTTCATTGAGCCAATAAAATGATTCTCATGTGTTTTGATTGAAAATATATCAGAACACATTGATTTATTTGTTTTAGAAGTTAAGTAACAATGGTATGCAAGGGTCTTTTCCTAGTCCACTTCTGTTCATATATACATATATAACACCTCTGCCGGCAAACATTTATGATGTACATTTTATGCAGATGATACCATGTTCATCCATCGTAGAGAGGAATTGCATTTTACATGACTATCTAGCTGTCTGATCATATTAAAATAGAGTAATTATATCAGATCATAGGTCATTTTAACTTTAGCTATAATGCATGTTCAAATGGAGCTAGGGGAAAACGCTTTGAAATCCCTCAATTCAAAATTTACAATTAAAATATTAATCGTCACTCCCTGTATGTTGAATTGTACTCCTGTAGATGGAACTACTGTATTGCGTATGTAAATTATAGGTTGTTGTGTGAATTTATGTGTGTTTGTCTATGTTTATACTGTACGTTTTATTTGTAGCACTTAATAATACATCCTGGATTTACAGTGTAACTTGGATCAGGTACCAATAAATTAGCCTGTACCAGGAAGAAATAAAGACAATGGGGAGTAACAACTGGGCATTTTAGAGGTGTGACTCTACAAATTGTATGTTGTATGCTTTAGTGTGACTGGACATAAAAAAAAATCCAAGGATTTTCTGTTGGTGAAACCTTACCTAATCACTATGAGTACTTCATCTTTAAGGAACAACGCCTACCTGTACTCAATCCAAAAAACATTTGCTGGAAGGTTAAATCTCCCATGCACTGGGCTAGCAGTCCACTATAAGCAAGTTGCTGCATTACATAAATTAACAACCCTCATTATTCCAAGATTTGAATCCCTGTTTTTTAGAGATTCTTACCAAAAAATTACTTTGCTGTGTGTATCCCAGCATTGCAATATATGTTTTATGTTCTTCCTCATTGTATCCCTACAGTTTTGGTTGCATATTATATATGTTAGCATTTCCCCAAAGCTTTAGTTTTGTTTCCTGTAAAAGCTGGTAAGTATTTTACCTGTTTTGTACAATGAAGTTACACTGTATTAAAAAGTGTTACCAACTTAAATAAATGCAACAAATATTAATATTTTGGTTATGTTTGGTTTATGTTAATGTTAACTTTTCAGTTGACAGTGGGACTGTATAATTGATGCATCCCTGTGGTTGTTGTTTGCAGGGGAAACTCCAACCACACCATGTCAGGCTGCAGATTTCTCCCGCTGGGACAAGCTTTTCATCGCGCTAGAGGACTCCCATATGAGACAGAACATGCTGCTGGAATCTCTGGAACAATGCTGCGGAGGAATGGTGTCTCTCAGGACCCAGGTGGACAGGCTGGCCAAGGGAACATGCCAGCACTGTCTACCAAGCCTGGAGTCAGCATGCAGGGCGCAAGCAGAGCAGACGAGAGTCAGGCTACAACAAGGCTTGGTGAAGCTCCAGGAGGAGGAAGCCGAAAGGGAGAGGAGCTTAAACGCTACCTTGCAGCAACTCCTGCACAGTAGCCTTGAAGCGAATGCCCGTCTGAAGTGGCTGGAGGAAGGTAGAGGCCACAGAGTGGTGCCATCGGGAGCAGCAGACAGCAGGACGGGACACCAACCAACACAGATACCTGGAAGTTTGGGGGCAGCATTAGGCTTGGGAATGAAGCCACTCCCATCTGTCTTGAAGGAGAAGGAAGTGACTTCACCGCTGGACTTGGCCACAATGGAAAAGGCCCTAGTTGCCATAGCGATGGAGCTGCAGAAGGTTCACCTGCAGCTGAGCAGAGTAATAGAGCAGGCAGGTACACTGAGGAAGGACAGAGGAGACACATGAATTTCCTAGAGGAAAAGAATGATAAAAGATTGACTAGGAACACTCCAGTAATGATGATTTTGCACATACTGATTTTTTTAATGTTACTTTTAAAGCGCCTTTCTTAGATACGTGAGCTTGTTTATGTCTGGTGACAATGAATTTAGATGTACTATAAATGTTGTGGGTTTACTATAATAAATAAAAACGTATTAAACAACCTAATCAGTCTCATGGAAAGGTTTCCTCCCTCCTCCCACACAGTAATCAACTCATTTTCAGAGCTGCATGCTTCATGTGTTCATGCACATGCCTATACTTACTTTTGTCTGAGTCATTTCATGAGCTCGATCCTTCCCTGCACGTGCCAGAGTTTACCCCACTACCTCAATGTTTGTGTAGTTGTGGTGATGTCTGCAAATACCGACAACCGCAAGAAAGTGTGTGAGGTTTTGGATTGGGTTTAATTGTGGGCAGACCTCACCCTCTCATTAGCTGCTTTAAGAGTCTGTATCCTAAGAGGCCGCGGCTTTGCGGTGCTCCAAGTGTTTATGATTTATGAAACCCTGCCAGAGCTATTGCACTGCCGCCCATCCCTCCTGTCGCCACACACACGTTCATTGTTGTAAACCACACAGGGCTTGAGGTTTGCCTAGAGGTACTTTCCATGTATACTACAATTTTCATATGATGCTCTTTTGACACTCCCAGATCACCTCTCATTAATTTTTGGTAGTATTTATGCTTTAGTTTTGCGAAGTTCTATTAGTGGGGAAATAAGAAAGCAGAAACAGGGAGAAAGAGAGAAAAATGAAAACTGAGAAAGAGAAAAAAAGTAGGAGGAAGACAGGGCAGAATAAGGAACAGAAGAGGTGCTCAGATCCTTAACTTAAGTAGCAAATGAAAAGTATTATCAGCAAAGTTAACTTAAGGTATCAAAGGCTAATGTATTATGCCAGAAAGACCCCAGTCAGTGATGAGTTATCACATATTATATTATTTCCGAATTTTTATTGACGTATTAACTTAACTGCATTTTATTGTTGTAGTTGGTAAAGAGCTAATTTGAAATAATTTATGTATCTATAACAAAGCATCATACTTAATAAAATGGTCAAAACTAGTAACTAGTAACTATAGTACAATATTTTCCTCTTAAAATAAAGTAGCAGAGAAGTAGAGTTGCATACATGTATATAAAAAAGTATTATGTTAAGTACAAATACCTTTTTTGTACCTTTTTACTTTGTACTTGACTGAATGTAGGCTACGTAGTCACATCTTACTGCTGGGCAAAATATAGCAACAAAAAATATTTGAACCGTATATGAGTTTAATTATGCCAGCCCACTGACATCACATGAGCATATTCGCTAATGAAAGGCTTACAACCATGGCATGAATGCATACTTGTGCCCATGCTTGTGTGTTTGTGTGTTTGTG